TTTTGGTCGAAAAATTGATTTAAATTGGACCTTTACACCACATTGCATATCATTTTTATTGATGAAAGTTTATCAAATGAATATTTTTTGAAGAAAAAAATATTAAATTCAAAAATATGTGATTACACAAAAAAAAAAAAGGTAAAAAGTCAACATTACAAAATATAACAATCCAACTAAATACGTTGTTTTATAAATAAATAAATCGATTTATAATTAAAAAACTGAAAGAGTAAATAATTATAAATATTTTCAAAAGTTTATCTATAAATTTCAAATATAAGAACTGTTAGTAAATTTTTCAATAAATAAATAATATTATTAATTTAAATAAAAACAACATATGAAATAAGTTTTATTATTAATATATTATTAATTTAAATAAAAACAACATATGAAATAAGTTTTAATTATTAATATATTGTAAATATTTTTTACATTCTATACATATTTTATAATATTTTTTTATATATATATTTTTATTTTTAATAAGTTTTAATTATTATTATATTAAAAAATTGTGTACATTCCGATACATTTTATTGTATTTTTGTTTAAAAAAAAAATCAGGGGGGCCCACACAAAACCCCCTGACCCCCATCTAGCTCTGTCTATGTGAGGCCACCTAATTGTTAATCGTATCGACTCAATCATATTTTCCTAACAAAATGCTTACTTATGCGATTCAACAGTTAGGCGAGTCCGTCATACGTTTTTTTTCTAATGAAATGCATTCTTATGCTACGAAATATGATGCTTTTGTCGTGTTGCTTTTTATAGTTTGCCATCTCATTTTGATAGCATGCACATAGAAAAATATGACTGCTTATACCTTTATGCCTGCAAACACAACTTTATCGATAATTATGCTTTGAATTTCTAATAATTCGATTATCATAATTAGATGCATATCTCGGAGCCGTATATAAGAAAATACAACCGATTAAACTAATTTCCAGATTTGAAAAAATTACACAATAAACCATATTAAAAAAATACCCAAAAATAAAAAGAGAAAATGAGGACACCTTTCCGGAGCCAGCCATAGCAATGACGCCACGACAACTTTATCCATGGGGGCTAGGCGGACATGAGCGCTGACAATTTGGAAAATAGAGTGATTTGATTTGAATTTGAACCGTCGAGCTTTAGAACTAATCTCCACAGACCGGAAAGGTGGCTATTGGCGGCGGCGCCACCGAGCGAGGAAGAAAATACCTCCTTTGCTGAACACTCGTCCCGTTGTTGCGTCAACTCCATACAATATCCCTGTCAAGAAGACTGGAACCACTCTATCAGCAATAGAGATTATATTTTGGAATATGCGGTAAGCACAGATAAAATAACGGTATACCTAAGATGATTCTGCAACTGAAGCAAAAGCAGTTAATGCATCTTTTTGCACCATTTGTTTGGAATTCTGCAACTTATAAAGCATAATCAATTTTTTCTTAAAAAAAATGTCATATTCTAAGACACGCAATGCATTAAGGTATGGCTTCTAAGAAATACCTGTAGCAGTAGAAGCAATTTGTGCACTACTCTATCAAAGTACGGCGTTGAAATTTATAGTGTGCAATTTTGGCTTGAGCAAAGCCGAAGCTTCATGTGCCTGAAAAGGCAAATGGAAATTGTCAATAAAAAGAGCAGTAGGCACTATGAAATTCACACATCAAATATAGTACAATAGGATAACTTGGAGTTTGATTAAGACAAGAGTAGAGACATATACCTACATGAAAAGAATATGTCCATATATATCTTCCAAGTATCTCATTTTTCGAGTATTCAACTCCATAAGCTTTAACCTGTTAACAGATCATTAACAAGGCATAAAATGGAAAAAAGGCATTTTTCTAAACGGAAAACACAAAATATGAGCACAGAAAATTGCCTCTATCATCTTATGACGTGGGTTGAGAACCGAAGATCTTATTGTGGAGGCGCTTCTTGTTGTTCGAGTAGCAGCGGTCGTTGACCTAAAAGGGAGGACTTTTTCATTGCTTTCGTGTGGATGCAACACATTTCCTGCGGTTGTTGTAGCTGACGATGGTGCTAAGAGCAAAACTTGATTACATTATCTACACTCATAACCAAAAAATAAAAAGAAATACTCATTTCAAACTCTTTAACAAACTTAATCATCAAATGAAATATCTAATAACGAAAAAAAAAAATCACTTTGAACACCAGAGATTTTCGAAACAGAGAAAGGAAACGGCTTCTTCACACCGACCTCGAATCCTTGAAATCCTGAAAGTCGGCCTAAAAATCATGTTGCAAAATAGAATCTAGAATAAGAATATACAAAATAATACAACGATTGGGAGGTAAATTTAGAAAATAGGAGAAAGAACAAACCTACTTGCATTGATGTCGTGCTTGCCGCAAGATGCCATCAGCAAAATTCAGGTAAAAAATCGACGAATAAAACTGGCGAATGTAGCAGACATGATTGAAGAATGACATGAGGATGCAGGACAGGGTGCCGAGGAACCACAACCTGAACATGAGGACCGGGAGAGTGGTATCATTCGTAATCGATACCGTGAGGGTAACCGCTCTGGTCGGCGCATTCTCTTCGGGCTCCGGCCGCTGGTTGCCATGGGCCTTCGGCAGTGAACTGGATGGAGGGCTTCGATAATTGTTATCATATTGATCCTTAGATATTGAAAGAAAAAAATAAGCTTTGTAGTCACATTTCAAGAGCACATGTATGAGCTAATTATCACATATGGGTTTTTCGAATTATGAAAAATCAAAATTGTTCAGTTAAAAACCCAAATCTACCTTCACAGTAAATGCAATCCCTTAAAAACGCAAAAGAAATGATGTGACATCCTTGAACAAGATATTTATTCATTTTGATTACCCAGTCTTAAAATATTTACCACTAACACATTCATTAAACTCCAGATAATTAATGTTCTACCGAAATAGGGTTTCCATGCACAAGGATACGATATAATAGAAATCAAAAAAGAAATGTTAAATGAAAGAGTATTTTTTTTATTTATTTAAAATGTCTGGGCAGTCATAATCTACCAGCAACTTCAATCCGTTTTCGTCATTTTTTGTCTCTTTGCATTTTTCTTGCTACTAATTTCTGTTGTTGTTCCAGAGTTCGTTTCAATTTGGACCGAGTCCAAGGTATTTTACCTGCTGTTTCACACATTTCCATCAGCAAGAATCCTTCTCTTCAAGAACAGTAAAGGTAACTTCATAAAACAATAGTAAAAAATCACTTCTAAACTCAATCTTCTAATCGACCAATTACTAATTGATTACTAATTTCATGACCCAAAACAGTAGGCTCTTTGGATGCATGAAGTGAAAAAGATAAAAACTCACCTTTGGGAGGCCTGTACTGCCACTCATGTACATGATGACAACAATATTTTTCTTGATTGGCATATTAGGAGGAGCAGGATTAGTTTTTCCCATTTTTTCCATCTATGAGAATGAAGAAATTTTCCATCTACTAAACTCTTGGCTAAAAGTAGAACTATCGGAGGAGTCTTCATCATCAAAATAAATGACATGTCTAATGATTGGCAGATTTGAACTTCTTGCTGCCAACTTATTTAGTTGCTTGGAATAACAAATCAGGGTTGACACTTGAGTCGGCAAAAACAATTGAGACCATGGGTAAGTTTTACCTTTTATTATAGTTATTATCTCAAGAATCGATCTCCAAAGATCGATGTACTCAAGCAGAAAAGAATCAGAATCGCATAAGAAACAAAACATTTGCAATATTTTTAGAACGACAAACAAAAATAAATCAATCCTATCATGACCACCTCATTTAATGAGCGAATCACGGCATCATCTCCTAAAGAAGCATAAATGGTAACAACTGTGATGTTCTGATGGAAGCATCCATGGAAAAGGTATATTAGTAATAACCTTAAACAGAACCTGCAATCACAAATAATAAATACCTCAAGTCTAATATATCATATCACCTACTAAATAAGTTATGCATGTAAATTCTTTTCGATGGAGAACTTGCTCACCGAATCCATTAGCATTTCGGCGAGTGCCAGTCAACTGATAATGACCATCGGTCTCCCTCGACGCCACTCTCACGAACCAGTCAAGCCTCATCTTGGTGCACTGCAAAAATCTTCAAATACTCGTCCCGGTCCAACACCTCTCTTCCCCCATCTGGAAACAATAGAGGCTCGTCCGCTTGGCCCATCCATACCAGCTCGTCCATTGCCGCAGGGCCATCTCTAGGCCGTGTCCATTCTCCACCCTATAAACTTACTGGCAAGTTTATCAACAAGTACGTTATATTTAGCCATATTCGAAACACAACAAAAACCAATCCAAGATATCTTGAAACTCTGCTGATCGTCAGATATCAAGTAAACAAACACAATAGAAGCTAGCATTTTTTTATCTTACTTTATCAAGACCGCAAGATTTCAAAAAACTGAAATTTACATCTCGATGTTGCTTACATCGAAAATCAATTATTTTCGAGAGTTAAAAAACTATCAAGTAAATCTTAACAATTTACCAATAAAGTGTCAGTGAATAAACATTACCAACAATGCCATTCGCAACACACGATGTCCACCGGATAAAAAGCAATGGCAAAGCTAAATAAAAAATATCCCTAAGGTGGTAAAGCAGAAAGCACAAATTTGACTTGGGAAAAGAAAAACATTTCAATCAACCCGCCACAAAATACAGCAGAAACTAAGCATCACTTTCGCATCACTTCCGGGACATAGTTAGCATTGCCTGTTGGTGAGATATCACAGTTTACACAAAAGGAATCGACATCGTCTTCCTTCATAGTCACCACACACAAACCAAAAACCCAAATATATTAAATTATGTAGTGCAAATCAAAAAATGAAACACACACTACAAAACAAACCAACTAATAACTTCACAACCAAGCAGCAGGTTTGCAATAACCAACTAATCACTTCACCACCAACTATCCACACACTCAAGGTTAGGGTTTTCACCTGCGGTTGACCATGTCGGCAGGAGACGGAGCTCCGAGCACGATCAAGGGGCCGCGGAGCCCGGAGGAGGATGAGCTGCATCAGAGGCTCGTTAATAGCCACGGCGCAAAGAATTGGTCGCTGATAAGCCAGACGATTCCAGGGAGATCGGGGAAATCATTTTGCCTTCGGTGGTGCAACCAGCTCTCGATGGTGGTGGACCACCAGTTGCTCACGACAGAGGAGTACGGAATCATCCCCCGGGCGCATGCCGAGCAGAAAAATCGTTGGGCGAAGATTTCAAGACTTCTCAGCGGGCGCACAAAAAAGGCGATCGAAAACCACTGGAACTCGACGCTCAAGTGGCGGCGGCGAGGCGTGGACGACGCAGGGTTTGAGGAGATCGGATAGCAATGAGAAAAAGTGTAGATGTGTGTAATTTTGTTGACCAAGATATCTACTTTGGTCAGATTACTTTGGTGAGGTGATTGTTGCGTGTGATGGCAAGAGAAAAGCGAAAGAAAGGAAATCAATTATGCAGATTTTATGCGGGATCTCCAGGTAAGATGATTGAACACACAGAATTGCATATACTAACCGCCAAAAGAGGTAAGTCAACATTATTAATGGGGGCAGTGGCAGCTCTGTAATAATGTAGCAAAATGAAGAGCAATTAGTAAGTAAGTAAAGGACACGTGTCACGCCCTTAACCCCTCAAACATTTTCTTATATGTAAGAAGGAGATATGTATATATATATATGTAAATATATAATCAATAACTAGTGCAACACCCGTGTATTACACGGGTGCTTGTGAAAAAATTATTCTAAAATTTTAAAATTAACAAGAAGAATTATTTTAAATTTTGTTTACTTTTTTACAAAAAAAAATATATATTATTATATATTTTGACATGACACTTGTTACTTGTGCGGCTTACATGTGTTGTATTATAGTAATTTTTATAACTTATATCATATAAGTACTTAAAATATAAATATAATAATTGATAAATGATTTTATTTTTTAATAAATATTAAAAATCAATTTTATTATTGTTATAAAGATAAATATAATTTATTTATTTTTATACATACAATATGGATGTTAAATCAAAGTTCATCAAGAGATGATTAATTTAATATATTATATATGTAAAACTGATATAAAATAAAAAAATTATTAACTTTAAAATATATTCAATGATTATAATAAAAATTATATTAAAATACAATTAATACATGTAACATTAACATAAATAATCAATATATTTATGGATAATCCAAACCAAATTATTTTTGGATTGTAAATAATTAAAATCTACCAAGCCTAATAATGAAGCATGTAATTTTGTCACATAAGATCCCGAAGCGTACGAGTCTGCTATTTAGGCTCAGTACGATCTGAATTAATATATAGGGTGAGAGGGATTCCAAATATACCAAAAATTGACAACAATATAAAATTAAAACATAATATATGTTGAACCCTACATGAATACATTAATGGCATTTATTAGATTGAGGTACACGTACACAAGTTCATCACCACCACAATCTCTTCAATAAATGCTCACACTCCCAAATGGCCTCCATATTCAATTACTCACGTAAAAGAAGCACCATTACCTTATTATTACTCAATAAGCCTCGCCTGTGATCATATCTGCAACTTATCATGTGACCCTTTTCACGTCTAATGCTCTTCATTGTCTGTGAATTGCTTCAATACTATAGTTTCTTTTCTACTCCATTTCTCTTTATATACTTAAACTTACGCGTCACAATTATCGACCATCGACCATCTCTTGCAACAAGATATATTCAGATTTCAACTGAATTAAGGTGGAAATAAGTGAGGCGATGAAGGCGTTTGTCTACCGATCGAACTTTTTGGTGGTCGCAATTGTTTTGTTACCGGTTGTCGTGCATGCACGGAACATCTACAGCGTTCATCAACGTACGTAAAAAGTTATTTTTTATCGTTATTGTGATCACTAAACAAAATTTAATGGTACATATATAGTGTATTTTAGCGTTCCATATAACTAAAATTATTAGCCTATATATGCATTTGTATTTTGATAGATAATGGCGATCATCCCCACGAATCGCGTTCCAGTGAGAAGGATTCTACTGTCGAAGCTGAATACCATTGGCTCGGCGCGGATTTACCGATGCGTAAAAGAGCTGATAGGATGCCGGTTGCTGCAGGGTCGAGCTTACCGGATTGTACCCATGCTTGTGGATCTTGCACCCCATGCCGGCTAGTTGTGGTTAGCTTCGTTTGTTCGTCTCTTGAAGAGGCTGAGACTTGCCCTATATCTTACAAATGTATGTGCCATGACAAATCATATCCTGTTCCATGACCAAACATGAATCAACTAAATTTTGTACGGTCCAATTTTATATACGTTTATTATTGATCGTATAAGAAACTAATTGGGCATATGAACAGCTTTGTACTTTACATCCTCTTTTAAACCTTTAAATTATTGTACAATTTAATTTGGCCATTTGTTTTAGATCATAAAGAGATACAAATAAGACAATACGTTTGTACTCTTGTTGTATTTGCTAAACTTGTCAAATTATATTAAAAATCTTTAATTGTATGGACATACGATCAAATATTTTGGGATTTTAATATATTTCAACAATACAGTTTTGCTATGGAGTTATTGGAGGACTCGACTTATGAAGTCATCCACATTTATTCATAAATAGTGTATTGACCCGTGTACTACAATAAATACAATTTAAATAGGTGTCAACATATTAAGTAGTGGATGACTCCATAAAATTACCAGGCTTAATAGAATTTTGTCAAACGAAAATTGCAATAGATAGTGATAGTCAGAATCAACAACCACTTTCAACAATTTTTAGGAGAAAGAAAACAAGAATTAAATTCAAATATTTGACAAGAACTTTCAGCTGTTTTAGTAAATACGAACGATGTGGCCATAATATTTCGTACTATATACTTTTAGTGACCAAAAATGGCATTTTTATGATGAATATTTTTGTTATAAAATATCATATTTCTTTTAGTATTGGTTAAAATCTACGTCTGTCTATCAAATGGTTTATCGCATAATTCGTTTTGAATTTTATCAATTATCTTTGCCTTTATATCTCATAGATCATCGCATATTATGCTTCACACGTTATTAATAATCTTTGTCTATCTGTCGCATAGTTTATCACATAAATATTTCGCACTTTATCAAATACTATATTTTATTTCAAGATTTATTAGATATCTTAGCCTTTTAGTCTCATAGTTTATCGAATAATTTGTTCTGCACTTTAAAATTATTTTTGTCTTGGTGTCGCATAGTTCATCACATAAGTTTTTTCGAAATTTATCAACATCTTTGCATGTGTGTCGCATAGTTAATCGGATAAGAATTTTCGCACCTTATCAATTATTAACGCCGGACTGTAGCAAAGTTCATCGAATAATCTTTTCACTTAATCGATTATTTTTGTCTCTCTATTGCATAGTTTATCACAGCTCAATTATTTTTTATGTGTGTCGCATATCTCATAGCATAATTTATTTCGCACTTTATCAGTTATCTTTGTCTGTTGCAAAGCTCACCACATAATTTGTTTCGTACATTATCAATTATCTTCCCTTGTCTTTCGCTTAGCTCATCGAATAAGTTGGCACTTTATCAATCATGTTCATCTGTTTGTCGAATAATATATTGCATAATGTATTTCACATTTTATCAATTATCTTCCCATTTGTGTCGCATAACTTATCGCATAAATCGGTGTCACACTTTATCCATTATATTCGTCCGTCTGCCGCATTATATGTTGCATAATGTATATCGCACTTTGTCAATTATCTTTGCATAGCTAGCTGATTGCATAATTTGTTTCGCACTTTATCAATTATCTCCACTTGCCAGTCATATAGCTTTTCGCACTTTATCAATTATTTTCGCATGTCTGTTGTATATTAGATCGCATAATGTGTCTCGCACTTTATTGGTTATCTTCGCCTGTCTGTCGAATAGCTCATCACATACTTTTTTTCACTCTTTATCAATTATCTTCGTCTAAATGTCGCATAGTTGTTCGCACTTTATCAGTTATCTTCACATGTCTATCACATAGCTCATCACATTATTTGTTACGCACTTTATCAGTTAAGTTTTCGCATGTCTGTCGTATAACTTATTGCATAACTTGTTTCACAATTTATCAATTATTTCCGCATGTCTGTCACGTAGTACATCACATAATGTGTTTCACACTTTGTCAATTATTTCCGTCTATCTGTTTCATAGTTCATGGCATAATTGTTTCACACATTATTCTTTATCTCCGTCTGTCTATTGCATAACTTTTCACATTTTATCAATTATAATTGACTGTCTGTCGCGTATTATATCGCATGATTCATTTTGCAAGTTATGTGATGAAAAGTTCACTTATTATTTAGTGGTGTGAAAAACTTATTCGTTCTTTAAAACGAGGTGAAAATAGTTATTTTTTCTTTATTAAATGTATGATGAACTCTCTAAATTTAATATAGGAAAAAAAAATTTAACCTTCCAAAGTATGTCATTTAAAGTTTGGCATATAAACTTTACTTTTTGACAATTTGGCTTTCAGTGTAATCGAAATTGACAATTTGCGCCCTCAATTAATAACCCTAATATGCACAAAAGAGTTTTTAACTCAATTAATGATAAATTTTAAATTAATCTTTAAAACTTAAATTTAGGGCTTTTAAAGTCCATGACGAGATAAAAAAAAAAAATGAGGTATGGTTTGTCGAATTCTGAAAACTTATACCTCTATAATCGATCCACGAATATTGTAGGAGCACGTGTGCATAGAAAAAATTTCTATTCAAGTTTTCTGGTAATCGAGATATTCGATTTTCGGTTGGGAGGTGTCATTTGAAAGCTTGTAGGACCAATTTTTTAACGCTTAAATCTTATGAAAATCCAAATGTCGAATTTTGATCAGTATTTAGAAAACTATTGATCAATAGTTAGCTTTTTTTTTAGGCCGTTAACCAAAATCCAACCGTTGAATTTTCATAAGATTTACTTCGATAGAAAACACGTCCTCCAAGCTTTCAAATGACACTTCCCAATCAAAATCGGATATCTTGTTTATCAGAAAACTTGAATTGGACTTTTTTCTATACACACGTGTTCCTACTATTTTCGTGGATCGATTATAGATGTATAAATTTCTAGAAATCGACAAACCATACTCCATTTTGTTCATCTCCCCATGGGCTTTAAAAGCCCTAAATTAATTATAAAGATTAATTTAAAATTTATTATTAATTGAGTTTAAAATTATTTTGTGTCATATTAGGGTTTTTAATGGAGGAAGCAAATTGTCAGTTTTGATTACATTGGGAGGCAAATTGCCAAAAAAATAAAGTTTATAGGGCAAATCTAAAAAGTGACATACTTTGGGAGGTTAAAAAGAATTCCTTTAATATATTGGACATGTAGCTTTTCTTTTGTATATTTCTTTATTTCTTTTGTGTTTTAATATATTTTAAACATATGGTCATTTCACTAAAAAAAATGTATTGAACAATTATTTTATTAATGCATTAGCCATTTATAGTATTTTATATGATCTACTATGTGAAATTTTCAATTATGCATTTATTATTTAAATTTTTATAAATATCTAAAAATATTAGTATATTAATAATGGTTAGTCGATAGAGTAACTATTAAACAGGCACTTCGTCATTTTTAATATTGGAAACAACATTAGTATCTTCTTTTGTGTCAAGAAAACAACACTGTTTATCGTACATTTGGAATATTGGAGTAGGGCTGAGCATAACACTCGGAGAATTTCGAAATGTTCCGAAAATTAGATCGAAATCACTCTGAACCGAAGAATAACTGTTAACTGTTTGACTTTCTCCGAACCGAACCGAACAGAGAAAATGATTGGTACGGTTCTAGAGATTTCACAAATATCCGTACCGAAAATCGAACCGAACTATCCCGTATTGTACCGAAGAACCGAAATTAAGAACCGAATAAAAATAGATGCGTGATATTAATATATTTTATGTCAACTTTGATCCTATATAATTTGAATTTTTTTCAAATGGAAATAAAAATAGGTGTAACAATTAAAATTCACTTAAATTTTATACTTAATAATACTTGAGATTTACAACTAATTTTTTCGGTTTAAGAAAAATATATGTAAAATGGTATGAAAGGTTAACGAAATATTTTTTGAAGAAAATATTTAAATATTACTTAAATTTGTCGATACTAGTCTTATTCTATCTTATAACTAACATGGTACGTAAGGTAAAAGAAATATTACTTTAACAAAAAAACTATATTATATTTTGTTTGAATTTTAAATTTTAAACGTAAGTTGCACAAATTTGTCTTAACTAAAATTTAGAGTTATTTCTCCAGTTGATTTAAAATTAAATCTTTAGTATGATAAAGTATTGATGAATGTTGGATTAAAAAAATTACAAAAATTAAAATACATCTAGGTGGCTAGCTATTAAAAAAAATTAAAAAATAATTAAAATCTCTGAATATTCGAACCGAACCGAGCCGTTCCGATAATTTCGCGAACCGAACCGAACCGAAAAATGAAAATATCGGAACCGAACCGAACTCACTTTTTGGTACGGTTCTGGAGATTGAATTTTAATAATCTCCGAACTTTGGTACGGTTGTAATAATTTATCAATCTCCGAACCGTATCGACCAATGCTCACCTCTATATTGGAGTGGTGGGATGTTCGACCATTTGATGATGGAGAAAACGTGCAATTTCCAAATGTTTTCTAAAGTTGGGAATGATGAGTTGGAGGGAGGACGGACCACCGACACTTGCCGATTTCAAACCGACTGCCGCAGACCCATTTTATGTTGGTTGACTTGGCTTTATGTGGTTGTTGCCCACGTTAAAATATCCCAGAATAAATTGTTTCGAATTTCCCTACGGAAATTGTGAGCACGTGTATATATATAGGGCTATTTGTCAATCCATATTCTTCCACTAAACTCTACAAAAAATAAAAATATTATCTCATTTATTATTTTGAAAATTCCTATGTACTTATTCTAGTTCAGAAATCGTAGTACACCTTTTGTAATGGATATCACATCTCTTTTGTACAAAAATTTTTTATGGAATTATCGGATGATTTTTTTATGGAGTCATCTGACACTTAATGTGTTAACACATGTCCAAAGTGTATTTATTATAGGACACATGTCTATACACTATTTGTGAATAAGTATGGATGGTTCTATAGCTCGTGTCATCGGATGACTCCATAACAAAATTACTCTTTTATAAGTAGTGTCTTATTTATATATAATTA